TATTGCCCTTGAATACCTAATTAACTACTACGTTCAACTTAGAAATTTTCCGTCTGAAACTTTAAACTTGAAAGAAAGAAAGAAAAATTCAAATGACACCAAGTAGATTCGAACCCACAACCTTAGCTTTGAAAATCCTATACTTAACACGTTATGCTAACTGACTAATCGATGTCAGTTATGGAATAAAACAGTTATTTAACATTGTCCAGTTACTTGTTACAAAAGGTGTATTGTTAGCATTGGTCTCATGGGACTAACGAGAAAATTGGTTATGCAAATTATTCCCGTTGGGAATTTTCAATACTGTAAATTTCGTAATCTTTCTAATCGAGGGTTTGGTTTTTAATTCATATGAAAACGGCTTCTTTGCCTATTTAAAAATGAAAATATTAATGCAGTGCTTGGAAAACTTCTTCAAGTATGAAATAAGCCAGTTACATACCTCGAACGTCGGCAATCAGCCTATACATCCCTCGGGCCTACGGCCCTCGGGATGTATTAGGCTGATTGCCTCCGTTCTCGGTATGTAACTCTTACATATCGTAGCCTGGTCGTATCGAAAAGCTGTATCGTGGTCGTATCACAGCAATAGCGTGCTCGTATCATACACGATGAAGTAAATGTGAAAATTACCTGTGTTTCTCCGAATTCGTTGTTCACAACGGTGAAGTTTAACGCGAGGTCTTCAATGTTGCCCTCGTATGTTTTAAGAAAAAGTAAATTTCTATAAAGTTTAACAAAATTGAAAAATATTAGCGACAAAATCGTCATGCAGCAATGGGTTGTAATGCATCGTATAAAACCCTGCTACTGTTACAAAACTATAGTGTTGAGAGACTCTATTTGTTCCCAGAACTCTCCAGAGAGAGTAAGAGGGGTGTCTGTGGAGGAAGTTGGACCGCGCATAACACCTGTTACAGTCGTTGTTGTTGTTGTTGCTACTGTTGCTGTTGCTTCTAATAACTATAAACGTAAAACCTACTAGCCTGATTTTCAGACGGGGCCTGGGTCCTACGCTTCTCTCCGTGTTTGAGGGCGGAGAGAAGCGTAGGACCCAGGCCCCGTCTGAAAATCAGGCTAAAAACCTACCTGTAAACTTCAGGGTCCAATGACTCTARATTGTGTATATCCACGTCTGTGCCATGTCGACCAAGAAGCTTACAAAGAAAGAAACCAGCAAAGGGAAGCTCTACCAACATGTTCTCGTAAAGAGCCTGCAATCATAAAGGGTAAGAGTCTATGCCTATTAAATAACTAGATTTTGATTTAATAGAACTGAAATATTAAAACATGTTTGGAGAAAAAGACAAAAGGATGAAGTCGCGCCTATGTTGTTGGGTGAACCACGCTTTTGCTACAAAAAATTGTGCTAAATCCTTTGCAATGTACGCCATTTCTTACAAAGTAATTCAAAGTCAGTACAGCTAGGCGTTCCTTGTCACGCCAAGGAAGTTTGGGCCTGAGGTCCGTTCTTGTTCTTCTACAGCCCAATCACCGTCGGAATAGCTACAATCGTTGCTAAAATACCTTGAACCATAGAATTGTTTGTCTCCAGCCTAACATTTTTCTCCTTTATTTTTTTTTCAAAGTTCTCCCCCTTAGCCCCCTTTCATCAATGTTGGGTCTTGTGTTGGATGGTTGTGTACTATGGTAACATGATCAATGACAACATTGCATTTAGGGGGGAAGAAATTGTCAGCTGGTGTTGCTTAAAATAATGAAATTCAGTTGAAATGGTCCGATGATTTTCACAACGATTTTAGGAACGCCTGGCTAGGAAGGCTAAGTGTTTCACGGTTATAGTTAATGTACACTATCATGGTCTAAGAACTAATGCGCAAGAACGGTTGAAGGAAACAGTCAATAATAAAGCAATTATACTGTCATACCTTTCCAAGCATGCGTCCTAGAAACTGGAAGTGTTGGAGGTAATTCGAAGCACAGTACTTTGCCTGAATGAAAGTAAAAATCACTTGTGAATCTTATAGCTGTTAATGCTGTATTTGCTTAAAGAATCACAACCAACCGCTGTACCTTGCGAGGCGAAGCGCCATTTTAGGTGGACACGAAACTGGCGAATTCGAAGGTTTTCTTAAAGTGAACGCGAATCGTCTTCCATCTTTTCAGTTTGGACAGAAATACCTTTACTAAGTACCTCACAGGTACTATCAATCAATAATCTATTGTATGCTTGACGCATTTAAACGTATGTAAACAATAACACAAGCACGCGCTGTATTGTGGTTGGTTAGGATTCTTTAAAATAACGTTGCTTACATTCGGATTTGGATAAAGCAGCCGTTCATTTGTTGTTTTGAAAAATCCAATGTTTGGATCGAACCCTGCCTTAAGCAGCTCGTTGAGAAATTCCCTGAAATAAGTAAAAAAGAGAGTTATTTAGAGAAATACATGTAATAGCCTTCTCCGCAATAGAAACGACTGGGTACGAGTCGTCTTCTCCGCAGCATTTCACTTTTCCAGTTTTTAATGAATATTTTCGTTACTAGTCCTGCTCTTTACTGAGCTAACACAGAAAACCCGTTATTTTAGGAGATCAAAGAGATGTCTGCGGAGGAGTAGTCTACTTCGCAGCCTCCCCTGYTGTCTTGAAAGGAAGCCCGACAAAAGGTGAGGCAGCGAAGGAGACTAGCAAAAGCATAAAACAGAAAGAATGGAAATATAATAAAAAGTAATACAATAAAAGTAAGAAAATGAAAGAAACCTGAACAGGCCACCGCCGTCGATACCGGCTTCTTCAAGTCCCTGGTCGTTTATAAGTCTGACGCGAACTCTTTGCTTTAGATTTGGTGCTAAAATCAAAGACACATTAAAGATCTCATTACACAACCTCGTTCCCAGGTCCTTTTCCTGCCGTTTTGAAAAAAGCGAGCAGAGAAGCCCTGAGAACTAGGAAACGTTGTCATAGGTCTTCACGAACGATTTTTACCACATTTGTGTAAATTCTCGCGCGTTGATTGGCTGATTAGAGTGTGTTAATAAAAGGATATGCACACTTCACGAGCGCGCTCAGTTGAAGGAAAATAATGTTTTTCGCTAATTTTTGGACTTAGAATGTGGTAAAAAAAACAAATTACACACGCGGTTTTTTGTTGTATGTACATGTACTTACATATAAAAATTAAAACCTTGCGTAATTTGTACATTTTACGTATCATCGAAGGAATATGTCGTTCTTCACTCTAAAGACTGATTCCTTCCTTGATTCTAGTGAAATTCGTTCCTTCATTACCTCGTTCTTCGCTGAGAGCATCGAAGGCGTCTTGATACAAGTACTTCCTATGAATGGTGATGTCAATCGATGGACCCATCATGAAATTTTGCAATTCTCCTTGGGCGTAGTTTCGATCTTTGTTGATAATACGTTGTAGAAGCTTGTTACAAGAAATTTCAAGGCATTAATTATAATAATCAATAATTAATCAAAATTATTATTGACAATTTGTATAGAAAATCGCACGACCTTGAGTACAATTTGGAATCAATAGTCACGAGTAATACTTTGAATGAAAGTTTTTCGTAATTGCACGAGCCCGTTAGGGCGAGGTTGGGTGATTTTTTGTTTATAGTACATTCAGTAAAACAAAATTTTATAAGGAGTACAATTAACGCTGTAATAGGCCGTTTGCATTATGACGCAACTTTACTACAACTACCAGAGAGCCTTGCGCATTTCCATTGTTATTCAGATTTGTAACTCCCTTGGAGATTAATAAAACAATTGGCACTAATTGCATTAGAAAACAAAGTTAGCAAAGCATTCTGGTAGTTGTAGTAAATGACGTCATATAATGCATATCGCCTATTGTACTCCTCTCTACCAATGAAAAAGTACTATTTTGTTGAGTGTACTATAAAATGTAGAAATTACGAGTTCGTGTTTGATTGGCACACACAGCGTTCTCTGGTGCACTCTGAAATGAAATGCATCGATAACCGTCTCCGCTCCAAGCTACAATCCTAGACAAAATTGGATGAGCAGAACGCTATTACTGCGCTCTAGCAGATGCACTCTCTTATGGGCTGTTTTAATGCTTACTCAAAGCCTCCCCCCTACCCCCACAGTCAATGTTGGTTAACAATGTTGATGGCGGGAATGTTTCGGTATGAAAGGAGGGTTTGTTTCGATCCCAACATTGGAAATTGTCTGTAAGTTTTAATAGACATATAGACATACATTTTGTCCCGTGAATTTTGTCCATGAATGTAGGACCTGACGACAAGGATTATGGTCCACAAGGTTGTTTTGATCAATGGATTGAGTAAAACAACTCACTCAAGTCTATTCAACCTACCATGACTCTATCCCTGAACGGTACAACAAAAGGTATGTGTTGAAGAATAGACATTTGTCTTGTTGTCATGGCTGACATTCCCAGCTGTATTACACCCTCTGTGGTTCCCTCGTCGTCCATGAACCCGTCAATTCTCATCTAGAAGAGAGTATACATTGTAGCCTTAGTATCTTTCACTAAGACTCAAAGCACATCCTCGGGAACCCAGGGGTAATATTCTGTCACTCGTTCCTCATTCCCAGAAAATTACCCCCGGGTTTCCGAGGATGCGCAAAAACATATCTTCACGCTAAACCCGAGCTCAAGCCCAAGCAGAAACAGCAAAACAAGGATAATTTTTGTACGTCCTTTCATATGTTAGGTCGTTGCAGAACCTACTACTGGGAGCGTCAATGAAGTAAAATGGTTTTCATAGTCGTGTCTATTTTTAGATTTTTCTTCGACCGATCCGCGGGAAACCAAATGAAGTCATAAACAAACATGGCGGAC